ACACATTGACACAAGAGCGCACACAGACAGACAGACAGACAGACAGACAGACAGACAGACAGAGGTAGAAACAGACACAAATACAAAGAGGAAGAGACACGAAAGAAGATAACGGGAAAAGTTGACTCACCTTTCCAAAGTACTCGAGAAGAATTCTGTCCCTGGCTTTGACGTAAGGGTCAGTGGGCGTGAGTCCATTGTGAGGATACAGATCATCCAACCATTCACAAGTGGCGGTACTTTCGTAGACCACCTGGTCCCCTTTCTCCAACACAGGCACCGTGCCCAAAGGGTTTCTCTCCCAGAACCAAGAGGGCTTACTCCCTAAGTGGATGTTGACTGTTTCATATCTGCCAAATAGACAAAAGGAGATTTCAAATGTCGTTTTACGTCTCCAGATTTTTGCCGAAACTATATCTTTGTCTTAGTAGAGGGTTTACGGCGCTCGCAACTGCATAAGGTCATAATATGAGCGCCAAAAGATTAGAGGTGTTACAAGAGAGTAACAAACATAAAACAAAAGGAGGGGAGATAAGGACGATAGATGTTGGATAGAAAAGAAGGAGAAAACCACCCCAGAGCACCCGCCAACCACCCACCGAAACTTTATTATCAAAACGGTGACCATTCAGAATAGTTTTATTTTATGTGTTGCAAGTTTATCAGACATCTGAAGCAAGTTGAATCCAATTTATGGCGAGAAATATAAAAAGAAACACATTAACAACAACAAAAATATATAAGAAAAATAAATAAACATTGCCAGAAAAATAACCTTGAGGGGTTTATCTAACATAATATTAATAGTGTCATGATTATAACAATATCTTTAAGTGTCTTTTGACACTAGATTTCTTTTTTTCTTTTTTATCAACATAAGGCTAATGTTGTTCTACTTTGACCATGGTCACTGTTCAAGATTATTTTGAACCATTTGCTCGTGGAACCATGTCTTTTAAACGTATAGTTTTCAAGTTGTAATAAGCAAACACTGGCCTGCTGGACACGGCAAACGAAACCTATTCAGCTCCAACACAAACACTGGAACACACGCAGAAAAACACACACATAGAAACACACACACATAAACGCACACACACACTCACACACACTGAAACACACACACACACACACACTGAAACACACACATAAACGCACACACACACTCACACACACTGAAACACACACACACACACACACTGAAACACACACATAAACGCACACACACACTCACACACACTGAAACACACA